TTTGTAAGAATTAAGCGTGCATCTCTAGATAGAGGTGCTAATGGGTAAAACCCAGATGCCAGCTAAGAGTCTGAGCCTTGCTCTTAGGCTGGACGGGGACTCTAGTTAAAAGAGGTTCTGGTGGCTTATTGTTCTGAATCCAGAGAGGGTAGCCTACCTCTGTGGGTTGTTGTTTAATGTATTGTAAAAGTATAGGATTCCCTCTCATTCCTGGACAGGCTTGAGGGGCAGAAACCTATACACCTGCCATAAATGTTGTTAGTCTTTAAGATGCTACTGTACTCTTGCTCTTTCCTACTGATACAGGCAGAACAACATGGCTACCCATCTTGATCTCAGTGGAAGGCCCCACATTTAGCTGTACAGAATGGAAATCCATCAACCTTGTGAAGAAACTTGCACAGGCACAAACAGACATCACCTTTCTCACCAAATGCAGAAAACTTAACATTATACCAAAGGGACTGAGAGTGAAAAACCCTCTACAATCCACTTTCCCCACAAACTATGGTGAGAGTTTGCGTCGTACGTTCTCCAAGAAGCTACTGAAACCTTTGGCCAGCATCTTGTACCATAAACAGGAACTGATCAAGGAAAAGCTCACTGAACCAACCTTTCTTCGGAGGAATTTCACCACAGGAGACAAGGCATCTACAATAGGCGACTAACTTCTACACAAAAGCAGAAGTGCAAAACACTTTCCAACCTTTGACAAGCCGTCTGAAGAAGTGAGCAGTGACTCATGAAAGCTCATACCCTACCACAAATTTTGGTAGTTTTTAAGGTGCTCCTGAAAACTTGCTCATTTCTACAACTAGGATCTGGGAGACTCAGGTCTGAATGCCCCTTCTGCCAAGGAAGCTGGCTGGGTGACCTTGGGACAGTCACCCCCTCTCAGCCTAACCTGCCTCACAGGGTTGTTGTGACAACAAAAGGGAGGAGAGGGCAATGATGTCTGCTGCTTTGGGTCCCCACTGGAGAGAATCAGAACAACATGGCTACCCATCTTGATCTCAGTGGAAGGCCCCACATTTAGCTGTACAGAATGGAAATCCATCAACCTTGTGAAGAAACTTGCACAGGCACAAACAGACATCACCTTTCTCACCAAATGCAGAAAACTTAACATTATACCAAAGGGACTGAGAGTGAAAAACCCTCTACAATCCACTTTCCCCACAAACTATGGTGAGAGTTTGCGTCGTACGTTCTCCAAGAAGCTACTGAAACCTTTGGCCAGCATCTTGTACCATAAACAGGAACTGATCAAGGAAAAGCTCACTGAACTTGACTCCTGTCTACAGAACCAACCTTTTTTCAGAGGAATTTCACAACAGGAGACAAGGCATCTACAATAGGCATCTAACTTCTCCACAAAAGCAGAAATGCAAAACACTTTCCAACCTTTGACAAGCCGTCTGAAGAAGTGAGCAGTGACTTATGAAAGCTCATACCCTACCACAAATTTTGGTAGTTTTTAAGGTGCTCCTGGAAACTTGCTCATTTCTACAACTAGGATCTGGGAGACTCAGGTCTGAATGCCCCTTCTGCCAGGGAAGCTGGCTGGGTGACCTTGGGACTAACCTGCCTCACAGGGCTGTTGTGACAACAAAAGGGAGGAGAGGGCAATGATGTCTGCTGCTTTGGGTCCCCACTGGAGAGAATGGTATAAACGAAGTAAATAAATGGATATACTTTTAGTACATTCCAAGGCAAGCATCATCCTATGAAGGAGACATCGCTTTCTATGGACACCAAGCTGATGCCTCTTGAGCTAAGAAAGGTTAAAGCACTTGGGGCTCTTTAGCTTGGAGAAACGACGCCTGAGAGATGACATGATCGAGGTTTACAAGACTATGCATGGGATAGAGCAGGTAGAGAAAGAAGTCCTTTTCTCCCTTTCTCACAATACAGGAACTGGTGGGCACTCCATGAAATTGCTGAGCAGTCGGGTTAGAACAGATAAAAGGAAGTACTTCTTCATCCAAAGAGTGATTAACACATGGAATTCACTGCCACAGGAGGTGGTGGCGGCTACAAGCATAGACAGCTTCAAGAGGGAATTAAATAAACATATGGAGCAGAGGTCCATCAGTGGCTGTTAGCCACAAGGTATAGATAGGACCTCTCAGTCTGGGGCAAGTGATACTCTGTATTGTTGGTGCTTGGGGGGTGGGGGCAACAGTGGGAGGGCTTCTAGTGTCCTGGCCCCACTGCTGGACCTCCTGATGGCAACACAGAGTGTTGGACTGGATGGGCCACTGACCTGATCCAACATTGGCGTCTCTTATGTTCTTATGAGCTCCACTGAAGCACCCGCTACTCTAGTGAACGGACAGAAAGGCCAGCACTGAATGTGTGTTTTGAGGAAGACGCTTGGGGGAGCTATGAAGCCCGCTGACAGGCCTCAGAACACCCAAAGGCCCCTGTGCTTTGGATAACAAGAATTCAGTCCGGCATGTTGTGCTAACAGCCACTGTTTTCAACAGCTTTAAAATGGATTTGTAAAGGTAAAGGTAAAGGTTCCCGGCTTCTCTTATGTTCTTATGAGCTCCACTGAAGCACCCGCTACTCTAGTGAACGGACAGAAAGGCCAGCACTGAATGTGCGTTTTGAGGAAGACGCTTGGGGGAGCCATGAAGCCCGCTGACAGGCCTCAGAACACCCAAGGGCCCCTGTGCTTTGGATAACAAGAATTCAGTCTGGCATGTTGTGCTCACAGCCACTCTTTTCAACAGCTTTAAAATGGATTTGACAGAGTCAATAAATTACTATTAGACACGATAGCGAAATGGAACCTGCAGGTTCAGAGGCAGTCTACCTATGAACACCAGTCACTGGGAGGTAAACAGTTACCGGGAAGTAAGCAGTAGGAAAAAGGTCGCTGCCCTTTTGTCCTGCTTGTGGGATTCTCAGAGGTGCCTAGTTGGACTAGAAGGACTTTTGGTCTTATTTGTTAAGACGCTTCTGATATTTTTGTCATGGAAATGCACGTTCCTGTCGATGGACTTTTCTGGTCACAAGCCATTAAGAGCTGGGTGAGGGCAAATGACAAGACACAGGGCCTCTTATGGAAAACATTTCAGTTTCCCAAATCAGTTTCCCACAAAAGAGGTCGCACCCGCCTGGCCCACTCAGAAGTGTCCCTCTTTCTGATCTTGTTTCTGTGACATGTCAGGATTTTCAAGATAGCCTGGCTTCATCATGTCAAAAAAAAAAAGAGAATCCACTCATTTAAAGATCTGTAACACTGAAACGTCATATCAGTGTTTATCACACATGCAAATGTCCTTCAAATATAACAGAGAACATACAATTGGGCTATAGTCAGAGGTCAATTCGAGGGGGATTGCGGGGGATCGCAGTTCCCCCGGGTGAGGTGGGGGGGCAGGGCACACAACAAAGCCCCGCCCCCCGCTTCCGGCCACCCCGCTTCCGGCCCTCATTCAGCCAGGAGGAGGCAGGAGAAGAGGGAGGGTAAGTTGCTCCCTCCCCGCCTCTCCCCACCCCTGCCTGCCTGGGGCCAGGGAGGGCCTTGGTGGCCTTATGACACACTTCCGGTGTTGTCAGGGGGTGTGGCCTTATGACACACTTCCGGTGATGTCAGGGGGTGTGGCATATGCTAATGAGTTATGCTAATGAGTTCCCCTAGCTCTTTTTCTACGAAACGACCCCTGGCTATAGTAGAAACACTTGTGGGGGGCGCGGGGGGTGTCTTTTGTTCACGTTCTGGTTTAAAGCTGCTCCTGTCCCTCCCAGGTCCTGTGACTCAAAATACAGTGATGTTCTGTTTAATTTAAGCCACTTCTGTAATCAGGCAAGGACCAAGCTCATAACTATTACCTCTATGGCTCCCCGAGCAAGCAGTGATGTGCCTCTTGCTCATCCAATTGGTTTTAATAAGACTGGATTCATTCATAGCAAGAGCGCAAATCTTAACTGATACATCTTCTTTTTTTTGTTAAATATGGTGCCTAAGGGTTATGGACAGTTCATCCAATTGGTTTTAATAAGGCTGGATTCATTCACAGCAAGAGTGCAAATCTTCTGACTATGTGGCTCATCCTTCCATTTTACTCTCCTGAAGTTGCAGAATAAGTATGGAAAAGTGTATAAAAAAAGATGGGTTAAGGTGTATGATTGGATAGAGACATTGAATGTATGGGACTCTACATTATATGTTACCTATGTATTGGAATGTTAAATACTATAAAACCAATTAACTGATACATCTTCTGAATATGTGGCTCATCCTTCCATTTTACTCTCAACAACAATCTTGTGAGGGAGGGGTAAGCTCATCCTGAAAACGCATTTCAAATGCCTTAGAGATGAATGTTTGGGATTTGTTAACGCCTGTGGAGTTTAATGATTTTATCGTCTTTTGCTCCAAAGAGCTGTGTAGAAACTGCAACCAGCGTCATTTGAAGCCGCATGACCTGGACTCGCCATCACATCCCGAGGAGTTTTCCCCTCTCTTCTAAAACATTTGTTTTATAACATCCAGCCTGACAAAAGGGTTCTAGGGAACTTGAAAGCTCGTTCACCGTTATGTGTCATTTGGTTGGTCCTAACAAAACGTACTTATAGAGACTGTGTTCTGATTTTTTTTGGTCATATGTGAACTTCCTGGCATAAGGGAATTTGAACCCAGATCTTCATCCAGAACTCTAAGTGCTACACCATGAACGCCTCAGATACAGCCTTATGAACCACATGTTTGATTTTATTTCCTTTATTTTTAAACTTTATTTATATCCTGCCTTTCACCCCAATGGGGACTCCAGACAGCTGACATCATTCTCCTCTCCTCCCTTTTATCCTCACAACAATCCTGTGAGGTAGGTTAGGCTACGAAATTGGCCCAAGCTTCCATGGATTCAAACCTAGGTCTCCCAGATCCTAGCCCGACATTTTAACCACTAAACTGCACTGGCTCTCTGGATACTCCGATTCTGGAGTGTTGGCATTCACAAATCTCTGTGTGAGGTAGTGATATATTAGACAGTTCAACCATGCAGAGTGCCTTTCTGGAACAAAGGTGAGCGATGACGTTAACAAGTTAAACAAGACCCTTCACCGAGAGACATGACTGGCTTGCTTTAATCATTTAACGTCTAAATTGTGTCGCTTGAGTAGAATGTCTCGTGACAGAAAACTGCTCTGGCAATAAAACAGCCTCTGGCTGGCTTACACGACCATTGATGCAATATAAAATGGTTAAGAAAATGGAGTTTAAGGTCAGCTACCCTCTGGAGCAAGCAAATATTCTCTCTCCCCTCCATATGAAACATGGAAGTTCCTGTAAGGATTATTTTGGGGAGTTTCCCTCAAGTTTCTGAAACGTGCCTGATGCACGAAGCAGTGCGTTGAGAGGACTGAAATGGTGTTAGCTGGGCATGAAGGCCAGAACCTCACTGGGTTGAACAGTTTCCAGTGAGCCGCCAGCCGCCAATTGTCACAGTTGGGACACAGCCACGGTTGGGACACGGCCTACAACTGTTCATTCATGGCCAGAATGCAAATCTTAACTGAATACAACAGAAGTGCCCCAGACAACTTTTAAAGGACCATACTAAAACTGCCCGTCATTTTTGTCCTGTGCAATTCAATATGAAGCATTCATTACACAGCCATAATCCGCAGACGGATTTCCCCCTCCCCACCAATATTCAGAGGCAGTGCTGATGAAAGGTATTCAATTCACAGTTCTGATGAATGAAGCCTCTTGTTTGGGCAGACAAAGTTAGCTCTGTTAAATCCACACACAAGCACAAGTCTCCTAGCAACTTTCTCAAGCCACGCTGAAGGAGCTGAGAAGCCGGAGGTTAGAGAGATAACTCTGTCTCCAGTGCCTAAAAACACTCTTGGCCGCCACTTTGGATAAATAAAGAAGCTGGTAGTCATTTTGTACGGAGTATGAGGTTGAACCTCTCAGCTCTTTGGAACAGGAGCCACCAAATCTCCACTCAGCCATGAAGCATCATGGGTAATCAGGTCCAGGCATGATGCCTATTCCTTAACCTCCCTCACAGGGTAGTTGTGACGATAGAAAATGGTTGTCCAAAAACCTTGATTTCTCTTAAGGAAAGGCGGGATTTTTAAAAAGAGAGAGCTCTAGAATTAACACAAGCTCCATTATGTTGACACACAGAGTGAAAACCTAAGACATTTTTTTAAATGCACAAAATACGCAGTGCCATCCTAAGCAGTTATACCCTTCTAAATCCGTGGACTCAGAAGGAATTGCTTAGGATTCCTCTGTGAGATAATGAAAGAGAACGCCACCTCGAGTCCATCTAACATATCACTTTTTAAAATAAATAAACGTCAATCTAAGTAGATTTCCCCATCTCTAAAACTGGTTGCATAATCAGTTGTGCAACTATAAGGCGGTTTTGAATCATCTGGATTCTCAGGCTACACCCTGGCCTCTGGCATAAGAAAAGACAGAGGGTGGCACAGACCAGGCATTCAAAACATACTTCCTTGATGCCTGGTCAGCAGCTAGCTTTATAGAAGGGCCACTCTGAGGAAGAACAGCACCCCTGGATCCCCAATACCATAAAGTAGTTAGTTAGCAAGGCCTGGTGTCACACTGCCACAAACCCCTGCTTCTCATTGGGCAACTGGGGCGGGGCATGGAGATTCAAGAGAGATATGGACTCCACCTCCCTCCGGTTACTTACTCCTCCTAGCGTAAGGTTTGGGTCTCTCCTTCATTTGATGCCTAGGCCTTCTTCACTTTCACACATGCCGACTAATGCACTTCTAATCAACTTCAGCAATTGTTTGCAAGTGGGTTTTGCCATTTCACACAGTAGAATCCAGTTGCAAAGTGCCTTGAAAGCGCATTATTCACTGTGTGTGAAAGGGTTAATGGTGCTATTTACACAAAGGCTGAAATAGGCTGTTTGCTCTTCTCTCTCTCTCACTCACACACGCTCACACTCCTTTTATACCTACTTTCAAAGTTATGTATTGTGTAAGTTATCGGTTTTCCTCCATCCTTTGGTGTGTAGGTCATCTCTACCTTTCCAGGGCCAGGTACGACAAAATCTGTGGCTCTATACTGCAAGAGAAGAATGGCAAATGAAGTCGGCAGCTTTCACCAAGGATTATGGAGAAATAGTACAGCCTGGAAAAAACATATTTGCATACATCCTGCTATAGATTTCCAAGTTTCTGCCTTAATGGGCAGCAAAGAGAACTCACACCAAGTTTCTGCCTTAATGGGCAGCAAAGAGGGCAATCACAGCACTTGCTTTGAAATGTTTCCTACAACCGGACATAGAACTTACACACTGCACAACCTATTTGGATAGTTGACAAAATGTTGCAATCCACACTGTGTATCGCAAGCTACCATATCTAAAATCTGTAATCTAAAATCTGCAACGGTGATGCTTTGGGACAACTCTGCTGTACTTGTATGCATTCTCTTCTCTGTGGCGTATATTACCTTGTCCTAAATAACAACTTCCAAGGTCCGAAAGCAGCAAGAACAGCAGCCCCAAGCACACCAGTTTTTAATTCTCTGGAGTTTTATGCTCTGGGTTTTTAATGGCAGTGAATTTTCATGCTTTTATATTTCTATGCTGTCATGATTTTACCGTGTTTTATTTTGCTAGTCACTCGAACATACATGTGCCCAAAGCTGTCCTATACTGAATCAGACCACTGGTCCATCAAAGTCAGTATTGTCTACTCTCCAGGGTCTCAGCTGGAGGTCTTTCACATCATCTGGTCCTTTTAACTGGAGATGCCGGGAACTGAACCTGGGACCTTCTGCACGCCAAGCAGATACTCTACGACTAAGCCAAGATTCTCTAGAGAGGAGGCTTAGAAGCCAAATTAATATATCTATGCATAAAGGGAGCAACTCAAGGTACCCACTTGGTCTCCAAACGCGTGACGGCCAATGATGATAGGTTTCACCCATCCGGATACCAGCCGGGGGATATTTTTGCAGATGATGGCTTCCCGGAACACTGTGCCGCCCAGAATGTTTCTGATGGTCCCGTTTGGAGACTTCCACATCTGCTTCAGCTTGAATTCTTCTACTCTCTTCTCGTCGGGAGTGATCGTGGCACATTTGACTCCTACATTGTACTTCTTGATGGCTTCGGCAGCTTCTATGGTGACTTTGTCGTTTGTTGCGTCCCGGTTCTCGATGCCCAAGTCATAGCTGCAAGTTGCCCCCCCGCCACAAAAAAACCCACATTGTTAGTTAAGTGCATTACCAACTTCCTCCAAAATGTTACTGAAAGCAATGTACCTGCCTCAGAAGTGTAGGATAAGAAATATATTTTAAAAAACCTGGGAGTGGGAGGATAGAAAGCAGCATACGCAGTTAAAAAATTTTTTTTATAGGCCACCTTTCCCGGCTAATATGATGGCTCAGAAGGATTTGGGATGGGGGGCTTAGGTACAGTGACTTGCCTTCTAGGAAATTCCTTTTATAACCTAGCAGCCAAATCTCTTATTATCATCGTATGGCATTGTGTGTTGAATAGCCATAAGATCCTAAGGTTGTCTGGCAGGCAACAGTTCTAGCTCTTTAGCATTATGCACCACTAGGTGGCGAGCAAGACTTTGTTTTTAAGGCAAGAGACGTTTCAGAGGTGGGTTGCCATTGCCTGCCGCTGCATCACGACCCTGGTATTCCTTGGAGGTCGCCCTTCCAAATCCTAGCCAAGGCCAACCCCGCTTAGCTTCCAAGATCTGACGCGATCGAAGTCTCCTCGTCTCTCAGATTCGCATGCTGCCCCCCGTAAAATGTTTAATGAAAGATTCACTGAAATCTACGTTCCAAAAAAAGAGGTGCCGTGTTCCTGCCTTTGAATGAACGATTCCTTGTTTTGTACCCCTCCGCCATTCCCTAGAGCCAGGCTATGAAGCGACTTCAGCATTTTCCATTTAGTTTGCAACCTGCACATGGCTTAAGTAGGAAGAAGTTACTTTGCATGTGATTGGGCAACTCTGTGGAGTCCTGGGAAAGGAAGCAAATGCTTGCCGCCGCCAAGCTCCCAGAACAATGTGGAAACATGAACTGATTTTTTTTAAATTAAAAAGATGGTCTGCACGCCAGTATTTCTGTTTAAAGAGTGAAAGTGTGTCAAAGGTCTTATACGTTTTGGATTGCCTGCGCGCAATAATCATTCATGGATTGCATGCACGCAATAATCAGCAGCATTATCAACGGCTGACTCTGCTTTGGAAGCAGCTCCGGCAAAGTGGCTCAACTGGTTAGATGAGTCGCTTAGTTTTTGGAATAAAAAAATCAAAGTGAAAGGGAACTGGGGGAAAGGCCAAAGGACCCTGGGATTACCCGTCACCAGGCACCTTGAAAAAGCTGTTGCTGGGCTCCCGAGGATACTTTCGGGGTACTTTGTCAATGGCCTTGACCATAGGCGTAAAGTTTGTGGGGGCGTCGGGGCGTCAGCCCTCCCCCGAAATTCTCAGGAAGGTGCTCAGCCTCCCCCGGGGGCAACTGGTTCCAGCCACCCTTGCCCAGCCCCAGCCCTCCCCCAGGAAATTGGAAAGTCTACACCCTTGGCCCGTGACAACTTGCAGGAGTGCAGACTCACTAAGGTTGCAAGCCCCTGAGTACTTACCTGGGAGAAAGCACCGCTGAAAGTAATGAGATTTACTACTGAGCAGACATGCACGGGACTATGCTGAAATGTTCCCAGGGATTTGCTCCAGTGCTGCAGGTCCTCCTGATTTATGGAGACCACAATGGCACAGCTTGTGGGGTTGCTAACGGGCCTGGAGAAAGGAATGCCCTGCCCTTTTGTGCATGTGGAAAGCCCCATCAAGTCACAGCTGACTTACGGCAACTTTGTAAGGGGTTTCCCAAGGCAAGAGACGTTTCAGAGGTGTTTTGCCATTGCCTGCCTCTGCATTGTGACCCTGGACTTCCTTGGGGGTCTCCCATCCAAATACTAACCAGGCCTGACCTTACTTAGCTTCTGAGATCTTCAGAGATCAGGCTAGCCTGGGCCATCCGACTTCTGAGCTCAGGTCAGGGCTTTCCTGCTCTGTTAAAAAGGTTCCCTTGCTCGAAAGCCAGTCGAATCCGACTCTAGGGTTGTGGTGCTCATCTCCGTTTCAAAGCTGAAGAGCCAGCGCTGTCCGAAGCTGTTTCCGTGGTCATGTGGGTGGCATGACTAAACACCAAGGCGCACGGAACGTTGTTACCTTCCCCCTGAAGTGGTACCTATTTATCTACTTGCAATTTCTTGCTTTCGAACTGCTAGGTTGGCAGGAGCTGGAACTAGAGACGGGAGCTCACTCCGTCATGCAGCACACTCGGGTCTCGAACTGCTGAACTACCGACCGTCCACAGCCTGCAGTTCAGCGTCTTAACCACTTGAGCCACCGCAGCTCCTGCTCTGTTAACAGAGGCTTAATGAGATGTTACTGACTTCTGTGCGATAAAAAAGCTTCAGCCGTCCGTGTCGGCACCTTAAGCCTCTATTCAAGGGGCAGAACATTTTTCTCCAGGCCTGGTGGTAGCTCTATATTTCTGCCAGGAGTTTTTTAATATCTAGGAGCTCTGCTGGAAACAAAGATGGCAGCTATTCGATGCTAGAGCCACTAGCCATGGTGCTGGAGGGAGCCTTCATCTATAGAGGCGGCAGACCTCTGAATACCAGTGCAGGGCACAGGAAAGCCTTGATTTCCATGGGCTGTCTGTAGGCCCACAAGGGCGACTGGATGGCCACTAGGGTTGCCAACTTCCAGGTAGCACCTGGAGATCTCCCGCTATTATGACTGATCTCCAGATGACCAAGATCAGTTCCCCAGGAGCAAATGGCTGCCATGGAGGATACTGCTGAGGTCCCGCCCCTCCTCACACCCCATTCTCCCCAGGCTCCACCCCCAAAATCGCCAGCTGACAACCCTATTGGCCACTGTGTGAAAAAGCATGCTGGGAGAAGATCACTGACCTGACCCATCAGACTGTACTTATGTACAGCATAAAACACATAGAAATGGTATGGGGCCTCACAACAGCTCCGGAAATCCCCCCCGCCCAAACACACACAACCAAGATGGCCTCCTATCTTGTGATCAGCTATCGTTTACATGGATCCTGAGTCTTTAAAGAATTGGGGCTGGCCAACAGACATGTGGAAGTTTCTGTTCCAAGGCCTTCACCAAGTGCTCACACATCAAGAAAAACACTGTTTAGAAATGATGAAATATGTAATATAGAACATGTAGTAATGATGGGAATTAATAATATACTGGTAAAATAGATCAGTTATAAAATCTGAAACTTAAAATGTCTGAAATAAGGATTATTGTACTCTGCAGAAAAAGTTCTGAAACTGTATGTAGGGGTGATTTTTTTAAAAAAAATTGTTTGAAGAAGAAGAGGAGGAGGAGATTGGATTTACACCCCACCCTTCACTACCCAAAGGAGTCTCAGAGCGGCTTATAAACTCCTTTCCCTTCCCCTCCCCACAACAGACACCCTGTGAGGTGGGTGGGGCTGAGAGAGCTCTGAGAGAACTGCTCTTTCAAGGACAGCTCTGACAGAACTATGGCTTGCCCATGGTCATCCAGCAGCTGC